TCCATCGGACACAGTAGTGATGGCAATTCACTGGGCAAACGAACACCTTATTGTTGTTTCGATTCCCAATTATTATTGGTCTACTTGCCTTTCACCAGTCAAGTTGTGGCATGGGACATTGATGTCTCGATATATAAAGAAGATGGAAGGTTAGTGAATCACTTTTCCATCATGTCATGTCACCAATTTGACCGTATCAAGAGTATAACAATGAATAGACAAGGACGTTTTGCTTTTGCATTGTCCTCCTTTGACGATGCGAAAAAAGACAAGATACTAGTGTTTTGAAAGATAGAAAAGATACAGTTTTCCGGCTCAGATTTTTACAAAACTGTATGAAAAATTCCTTTTTTTTTTTTTTCCACATATCAGTTCGAGTAAATGTCCACGTTGCAATAATAAAGCCACGTGGAAATTATTCAGAAGCACTAGTACTGTGACTGATTCGAGTAACTCAGTGTCGGAAACTGGACAAATGCCAGGACTCTTGGTTGATCTTTAATTGTGAAACTGTTTTTGTCCCGAAATACCTAGAGTTCTGTCTCCTCGACTGCGAAAGATTGTAATTCTGTCTGAAAGGTTCTTTGTAGCCAATCAGCTTTCGCTTGATTAAGTTGTAGCGCAGAGAGCTATTAGTACATTTGTTGTGAGTAGCTTAGTAAGCTTTTTAGTCTGAACAAGAGAAGGATGCAGTATAAACAGATTAAAACAGTGTAGACTGTAAACTCGAAAGGTCGACGTTGTTTATTCAAAACCGTTGTCAGCGGAGCGTTGGAACATCTTTGCAAAAACCTTGTTTGCATGAGAACTTGATTGCCTGATGGCAAGGTTGTGGCGCGTTTCCAAAACGTTCCATTGAAGTAAGTGAAATAACAACGAAACAAAGGAAACTAAGTAATACTATATGAAGAATAGCTTCTATGTAAAATGTAATTTAGAAGTATATCGTTCAATTTAAACCCTTTACACGAGTAATAAATACTCATTTTCTCACCGATCATTAACTAGTCTTCAAAACAAACGTATGTTCTTGAAATTTTTGTAAATTGCATATGCTCCCTTGATGAACGTAAATCATAATCAATCTTTCTTAGTCACTTATTTTATTGCTTTAAGAACCCCTTAAGTATCTTTAATAAAGCCCTGTACCTTTAATACAACAATAGGTTTATGGTTTAAAGGTAGTCTTATTGACAAGGTTCACTATATTTCCGTCAGTTTTCTTATTCAGCTTTATTGCTGCTACTTAGGTGGAGAAACAAAAGCAAAAGAATTGAAAAGAATATCTATGAGCCGTTACTTCCATTTGTTTAGTCTAACGGTTTTTTACTTTATTGCCTAAACTGTTCGCTATAAATTAAACGTACAGCATTCTAGGACGTCTGAAAAAATCTCGACACGCAAGAGAAGATAAAGCCTGCAAGAGAGTTGAATCGCCTTATAGGCCTTATTCACAAGGTAATTCCTCTGAAGATACTTTAAGGTGACTCCCAGTTTCGAAAATCCCAGGTGAATCTAGATATTGCAGACTCAGTGACGTAAATGTAGATCAAGAGAAGCCAGGCGGCCTTACACGTGTTTTCATCCTCCAAGAAAACATCCACGCTAAGCGCGTGGAAACATTTTCCGTGAAAGATCTGGATACCACGTCTAAAAATAACTTGAAAGAGATTACCTTGGTAAAAGACCTATACTATATGGGAGGTTAATCCCCTTGCCCTTTATCTTCTCTTCTCCCTTAAACCTTATCTACCCTTACAGCATATTAACATATATGACACATGTATTGGCATGCAGTGTTCGATCAATCCCATCTTTGCCAAATACAGGGCGACAACACACAATCGGAAATGGCATGAAGCCATTAGTAATTACAGTATTACAATCAAGACTGTTTCAGACTTGTCTAAGCCCATTCTACTTCGGAAATACAGCAGTTACTGCCGGCTTCAAAAAGTTAATGTTGGTAAAAACAAATACACTTTGCTCGCAAAGAGTACTTAGCCTTACCGTAGACAGAGAGCGATGAGGGCGCCCTGTAGAAGCCTTATGCGATACTAAGTCACAAGAAAAGATAGGTAACAAACACAATCTTGTTATAACCAATCGATACCAGGCATTCTGTAACGCTTAACTGGTACCTAGTCTTAGTCCGATCGGAAATGTCCAGAGTAGGCCGAGGAAATTTTGCTTAGCATTTTTTAAACAAAAATAGTCTAGAAAGTAGAGGCAATCTGAATCCCACTGGCTCGCGCTTCGCTGTACTGTCTAAAACAACGACTATTTACAGTCGAGCATTAAGCCAAAGTCGTCCATGTATAAGAATATGACAATTCTAGTCTTATCTTAAAGTAACAAATCATTTGACAAGAAAGAACTGTCTGCCTCTTCTTTGTTTGTGACTTCGCTATTGAATGTACTGTCTCTCTCACTACGAAAGTCAACAATGACACCATCTGTGATGTCATCTGAGCCTTCTATCACACGACTAGTCTGCAGTTCAGAGGTGCCTTGAGCTTACCCATGCGCGGCTGTTTGGTCACCAGACCCTACGTTCTAGATGCTGCTTTCGTAGAACTCTTGTTCCTTGGGGAGTTGTGGATTTGTTAGAGTCCGTGAACGACTTGTACCTTAGGAATGGATTTCAGAAAACGTTAATGCCATCGGCATCATATTAAACATAAAATAGAGAGCAAGCTTTACAGGTGGCTGAAATGAACGTCATTCCTGAACAAAATTTACTACCCAAGCGAAAGACCGACTCTTCATAGCAATATGTTTTCTTGTTGCAAGTAAGAAGTACCGGCTGCAAGTAGGAAGGGAAGACTGGAAAATAAATGAAACTTTTTAGGGGCACACAACGGAGCAGTTTCATGAAGTATCTGTGGCTGGTTAAATTTTGGTTCTGTCCACATAAAAACGAACGAGAGCCAATGTTTCCCAGTACGGTTCAATATATGGCGCTCGCCAGCTTTCGAAAACAAAAAAATACACGGCTCTTATGACAAAATCCAGACCAAGAAAGAACAAATTAGAACGCTCAGATTTACCTCAAGACGGTTTTGCCATAGCTGATCACATTAACTGTTGATTTGAAACCAATGAATGCCATATACACGTACGTTGAAGAGGCGCCGTCTCCATTTGGATAATGGGTTTCCACTACACAATCTCATGTGCAAGAAAGATTTTGGAAAGCTAAGTATCGAAAGGGGGGGGGGGAGGGGGGGGCACAAAATTTACTATCTCGTCGGTACTTTTGCTTTAGGATATTGCAACCACTAGCACGCAGGCAAGGGAAAAATCAAGAACCCAATCCGTGTCTGGTAATCTAGGTCTTTCATCCAACTGGCCACGTTTTGGTCAGACTTGGTCGCACAAGTATTTCTAACCATTCACAGGGCCACAATCGTTTAAGTTTCTTTGTTCTTTCTCCATAAAACAGCAATACCTATTGTACATCCCTTCCCTACTATTGCACAATGTTGGGTGTCTAGAGAGTGATAAGTTGGTTACTTGAGGTTTCCGCATTATAAAAAGGACAAAAAGGGAAGTGTTTCAATCGCTTTTGACCTTAGTTTTGACCATGAATAATACCTTCTCTGAGCAGGCAGTTACAAGAAACATCCATACCAGAGAAATGTATTGCCATGCATTGTCCAATTAGTTGATTAAAGTCAACTCACTTTTGGTTGAAAATAAAATGCTCCAAGATCTTGGTCTCTCCTTACAAACCCCACACACTGCTCCAAACACACGCTTGTAGGCCAACCAATAGCGCATGCTCATCTTGCCGTATATGATGGGGTTTGCCAGGGCGTAGATAAGAGATACCATTCCTGTGAGAAGCACCACAAGCTTGCTAGACCTCCGGTCTGTTGCAAAGGTTACGATGTTGCTAATCTAAAAAGAAAGGCTGCTAGAACAGAGCATCATATTTATGGTGGGGAAGGTTGTGGCGGTTTTAAGGAGCATTTTTTTTCCAACTTTGAGTCGCGCAAATTGTCTCTGGGTTTGTCCATACATTTCATCTTTGTTGCTCTGTTCTTTTTTCCATACAGGAGGTGTTTTGGTTATTACCAGGAACCCATCCCCCGGAGCCTCCATACGTACTTTAGCCTAGAATCAACCCTTTCCCGTATTATTCTACTTTTAGAACTGTAATTAGCACAGGGGTCTCTTATTTTCCCGCGGAATATCTTGTTTCTGCAAATAACGAAAGCAAAATAGCGGACAAAGGGGGATCCCAGTCTTTGGTGGAACAAAGAATGGTCTTAGATCGGGTGTCATCGAGTGTTAACAAGGGGTCGTGTGAAAACTCCCACTAAGCTGTTTCTAAAAATAGAAAGAAACTCATTGACTTGGCGGGTTAGTATAGGAGATGGAAGCTCCGGTTAATGGGCTCCTGCAGGAGCCATAATCGGGGACGGAGACCGTAAGCGCGGCATTTCTAGTACTGGGGCTGTTCCTATGATATGGGACAATTTTTGTATTTTTAGATCAAATTGCGCCATCATGTGCGGCACACGCGCGTACATGCTGCGAGGATTTACATACATACATACATACATACATACATACAT